TTAAATGTCTTTCAGCCATTTGAGATTCTTCTGTTGAGAATTCTCTGTTTAGCTCTGGAGTTCCCTCATTGTCTCTAGGACAACAATACATTGCTGTGTCTTCACTTTGCCAACTGCTCAATTAAAAAAAAACCTTTGCTCTTGGAGGTATCCCTGCTGAATTGTAATTTTTCCTGTCCAAGCCTGCGATCAGGACCCTGTGTCCACATCCTATAATTCGTTCTGAAGACATGTATTTCTGTGCATTATGACAGATCCTAGACCTTCATGTCAGAGTGTCCAGGAAGTTGAGAGTATGTGGGGATTTGAGGATTTCCTGTTGGTAATTGGTAAAGAGTTAGCAGTGTGTTGTTACCTGGGCCTCTAAGGCCTATGGGTCAGTTGGAGTGTCTCTGACAGGTGGAGGGTGGTGGCATTCATGATTTTTATGTTTGATGTATTTGTTAAAAGTACATTTAATTAACATATACATGGTATGTGCTGATTTTCAGCAAAGTGGGATACAAAGATGTTCCTCAGTACAGATTCCTCACTTTTGAAGACACACAAAGGTAGGCTGAAAGTGACAGGTTGGATAAAAACTATTCACTAGTATGGAAAACAGAGTGGCCAGGAAATTTTGCTTACATTAGGAAAATCCAGTCAATGTCTGTACAAATGGAACAAAGAACAGAGTCCAATGAGCAATGAGTGAACTCATGAAGAGCACGACCATTGTAAACAAATGTTACCCAAGATGGCTAACATAATCATATGAGGCTATCATGAAAGGGCCTTCAGAGAAATAATGACTGTTTTTCTGTCCACCACTATAATAATATTTTCATTGGTATTAACTCACTTGAAAACTCTTCATAATGTACATATTAGTATGCATAGATTATTATATTCCCACATTGGCTCAATAATTATTGTTAAAAAGGTATCCAATGTAACTTCTGACCCACTTTTACTCATGGACAGTTGCCATGCTGTCCAACCTAAGTGGAAGATCTTGGGATATGAGAATCATAAGCACAATTTACTGAGGGTGTCTTTGTGAGCCCTCACACCTCAGACTTCACTTAGAGAGAACCCATCAGTGAGAGACAGTGCAGCAGTGGGATATTGACATTATCATGGAAATTCTATAAACTATTTTAATTGAAAATGTCACTTCCTGTAACTACTCACACAGAAGTGAGATTGCTCGGTCACATGGTCTCAGAAATGTAATTCTTTGAGGGACCTCCAAACTTTACACAGCACGGGAACACCTTCCTCTTCCTGTTCACAACACTTATTTTCATTATTTCCTTTAGTAAATGGCATTCATATCATTGGATGGAAGGTAATTTATCTTTTGGGATTTAATTTCCATTTGTTTGTAGATTAGAGTGTTAGCTTTATGCAGCCTCTTCTGCTCACGTGTATGGGCCAAGATGAAGGATTCCTATCAGAGGATGGAGGTTAGAAAGATGGCTGCTGACAAGGCCATCACTTTTCACCTTCATATCCCCTGAGCTATGTGTTATCTTGATGACTCAAATCTCAGATAACTGATAGAAATGAGTTCTACTTGAGAAGAAAAGTGAAACTGATCTCTTGGATGAGACAAACAGGAGTTAACAGAAGTAGTAATGATTCAAACAGAATATTTATTAATCAAAATGAGGAATGTATTTCTGAAATATTAACTTTTGAATCAAAGCCTCATTTATACTACAGAAATTCTCACACTGAGTTAGCTCCCAGCACTGGAAGTGAATATTTCAAATATTTCATTTTTAATTATGCGTATATGCTTCTGTGTATTGCAGTGCTAATGAAGGCCAAAGAGAGTCGCAGTCCTTTGTATTTACAGGTGGATATGAGGAGACCAATGTGAGTGTCGGGAACAATAATCCTTCTAACCACTGAGCTGCTTCTCCAACACCTGGATTATCAATCATAACCTCACCTCTCATGTTTGCTGCAGCTCTGTTCACAAAGTGCTGAATATCGTAGGAAGCTGGATAAAGACGGAGGATATCTCATGAATGACAGCCAGAAAGCAAGGCAACATAAGGACCTCTTCTCAAGTAGAACCTAAAAATCTGGTCTCAGGCAAAGTCACATGGAGAGTAGAATGACCCTGGCTTAGACATTATAGGGAGTAGCATAATCGATTCCATGGGAAAGATTATTACAAATATTAAGTTGAATGGATGTTGACCACAGTTCATAACAACAAATTTTGTTTTTAAAAATGGAGAGAATAGATCTTACCAAGTATGCCCTTAAACAATAAAGTTATGGTCATTCAACACTGGACATGCATTTGAAAACATCCCCTAAGACAGGGTGATTACAGACAACTTAAACTTCATTTAACATAAGGAGTAGTTCATGTTAATATAATTTCAGGCAGGAAAGGAATGAACCCATTACCAAAATCTTTTTGGTGGTCCTAATTCACACAGTGCTCCACTGAGATTCTTGAAAATTGTCAATTCAAATTCTTTTTTTTAAACACTATTAGATTATGGGGGTATTACTATATTTAAACTTCCTAAAATGTAAACATAATGTATATTACATAATTGTTTATTATACTACTAATTTCATAACTATAAATTGGATATATGATTTACTAAATTTCTCGGATCCTTCTAATTATATAAAATACTGTAGAAGGTTCAGAAATTTAAATTTTGTCGAACATATAAGTAATGAATAAGTTTATAAATCAATTAAACAACTGAAAATTACGAATGCCAATAAACTGATTTCAAGTGGGAAAAGATAATAACAGATTTGAAGCTACCAAGCACTGTTGAATTTCATTTTTGCATCTTCCATGTCTGTATCAGGATCAGGCATTTTATGTGGGACCACTATCCTGACCTTCTGAGTACTGGTGGAGTCCATCACTTATTTATGGAAAATCCTTTCACAGGAAAATTTAGCCATGTTTTGTAAAATAGTTATTTATATTTATTTAGTTGACACTTCTCATTAAGGTGATATTTACTCACCTGACAGAATTAGGGAAAGAACATCATAGGGATCCTAGTCACATGCCATTTTTGTCACATACTATCAAAGGCACATGCTATAAGAACCCTAAATCTTGTGTTTTGGGGTGAGGCAGTGTGTGCCAGATTTTTGCACTCATGTCATCTGGGTGTCTCTTTTTTTATGACTCTAGAAATAACCAAGGACATGCTCAAGAAGAGAAATCGCAAGGACATCTCCATAGATTATTGGTACATCTGTCATACTTTAGAGGTAAATGCTTGTCTGCAATTATTTGATTAGTCATTTCTTATGTCAATCTTGACTACAGAAGGTTCTTTTGTACATGGTGTTAGAATCTCAATTGCACATCGTGCATTTTCTTGGTGAAAACTAAAATCATTGGAAATTAGAGCCAAAGACCTTGTTTAAAAGATTTTTCCCTGCTAATCATGTTTCCCCTGAGCTATTTAGGCTGCTCCTTGGCTTAACCCAAGCTAAAATAACTATGGTTCTTTTCTCTCATGATTGTGTGGAGTTGTTCAATTCACTGTTACATGTCCTTATTACAGGATTCTAATGACCTAGTCAACTTGGTCTTAAATCTTAATCTTTCACTATTAGTGTCACTGCAAGAGTTTCCAGAGAAGCATCAACCTCAGATGAGGAAATTCTCTTTTTCTTTTTAAAGCTGCCTCAAGTTGATGATCCATTAACGTAGAGCCCACAGTCAACACTGCTTCTCTGAATGACACTTCTCTAGCTCACACTTGAGAAACCAGGCTCTTCCAGTCAGCATCCACAGAGAGTGCCAGAGGAGTAGTAACTCTGGGAGCCTTGGTAGGCAACAAAAGAACCAACAACTCACAAACTGAAAATCATAGAACTCAATTTCTTATGGGAAGGGCAGAAGAGAGATGGAACCAGAACTGGATCTGACACCAGCTGAGAAGTGCACACTGGTGGCTAAAAATTTTGTAGGTTGAGGACACAAATATGACTACAGAGGAATCATTACTTGGGACTATGAGTACAACTAATTTTTACCAGATGAAAATGTTTAAAAATAGAATTTTTCACAAGTAACAACCAATTATACTTTTTTAAGTTATCTTGGTTTAGAAGAAGGAAATAATGGATATTTCAGTTTCAAATCTACCTTTGGAAAATGCTAATATTTCTAGGCACGTGCAGTATCTCCATTACATGTTCAAAAGCAAAGAGGACAAATTACAAATTACTCCATTTACCAAGTTTTCTCAGTGAACTAAAGTCAATAAATGTCATAATTTAGGACTCAATTTTGAAATATAATTGATACACACAGACATTTTGAATATATAAAATTGAATACTATTCTGTGCGGTAATCAGAAGCAATTGGATAGCTTAGATGGTGTGTGGGAAAAAACAATTTGTTCTAATGTGTGCACATATAGGTTGAACAGACTATGAGAATTGACAGGGGCCTCTAGAGAATAACCTTGGCTTGAGGAGGAAACCACAGGTTCTGACATTAAAATTCATGCTCATTCAGCAGGAGTCTCTGCTGGTCCTTAGTGCCCCCTATTGGTGCTGGGTGTCTCTGTAGGGAGGTTTTTGTGCAGGCTCACAATGGAGTTCTTTCACTGTGTATCTGGCACAGTAATACAGGGCTGTGGCCTCAGTTTGCAGATTGTTCAGTTTTAAGAACACTTGGCTCTTGGAGGTATCCCTGCTGATGGTGATCCAGGATTTGAGAGCTGAACTATAATATGTACCCCCACCTCACCATATTCCTCCCACTCACTGCAGACCCTTTCCTGGAGGCTGGCAGACCCAGGTTAGATCAAAGCTGGTTAATGAGAACCCAGAGACAGTGCAGGTGAGAGACAGGGTCTGTGAGGGCTGCACCAGGCCAGGTCCTGACTCCTTCAGCTGCACCTGGGACAGGGCACCTGGGGACAAACAACATCACCATCAGTCATACATCCCATAGATGACATGCCTGGGTCCCTCTCCTGAAACTCTGACCCACTTACAGCTTGGAAAGGTCACCAGGCAGAGGAGCAGCACCAGGACAGCCATGCTCTGCTGGAGGCTCTGGTGAGAAGGAGATGGGGCTTCTCAGCTAGGCCTGGGCTTTCATCCTGAGCCTGAGGGCTGCTTTGCATTGGGGGAGGTTCCTGAGTGTATATAAAAAAAAAAGCACCGGTTTCCAGTTTACCTTCAGGTGACTGACATTTGCCTTGTGCTTCCTTGATAAACTGGAGATGGAAACTCAGAAACATTTTCCTATTATTTTCTGGATTTCCAATCCCTGAGAAATGAGAAATAGTATGAATCACACTGGGCAGACCTGACAAGCAAATCAAGAGAGTGTTTATATTAAGTGAATCCACATTCACACAGTGCAGGCATGTGGGTACAATGTCCTAATGCATTTGTACATCTCTATAAATTCCTGAAGTGGATTTACGATGGAGTTGGGCCTCTTAGTGACCAGAAACCCAGCTGAAGAAACAGCTAAAAATTTATTATCTTGGTGTCAGTGGAATTGTCTTATTCTCATCACCCATCTAGGAAATAACTTGTGAGGAAGCAGCTCACTAACATTATTACATGTGATCATGTGTTTATCTGTGAGGAGACCCCAGAGTCTCTTTTCAAGTTATTCACTTCCTCACTCAGGAACACCATACCTGGAGATTAGATTTTAGTGACTCTTGATTTATGCCAGACTATCTTTCTCTATGCATTTTATATCTCTTTTGTTAGCATATAACACAGAAAATCCCAGCTTTCTAAATATGGTTATTGCATTGGTAAGTGATAGGAAGACCAGCTGTTCATAAAACTTCATAAAACAATATAGTGTCCAACTAGACAAGGTTTATGTTAAGTAAAGTAAAAAATAAGCCAGAGAAAGTAAAGTCCCTACAAGAAGTAGAGAAGATGGCAGACATGAACATGGGGACCCTGTGCCTTGAGGTGTTGATCATCATAGAGAACATGAGTGTGTAGAGCTTTCCTCCATGCCTTGATAATGTAAACCACAGGGGAAGTGAAGTGCAGGGCTGGAGCCCACCTGTTCAGTCAGCACTCAGAGGATGTCTGTATTGGTATTGGAGATCTCACATTTTGTGTCCCTAATTTCTGAGTGGCAGTAGTAGAAATAGGTCTTAACCTTAGGGAGTCAGCCATCTTGTATAAGCTCTAATGGTCACCCACACTATAAGTGTGGAGTTGCCCCTGTTCTTGTTTCTCTGAGTGTTAGAAGAATATTTTGTAGACATTATTGTCAGTATGTCTCATCATGGGTTTATCTGGTATTTTCATTGTGATAACAAAATTTGCAAAGGAATATTACAGAAATAAATGTACATCTCTTATACTATATTAGAGAACTTGGCATAAGTCTCGTTATTCAAATATTTTTGTCTTTGATGACTTCAGAGATAGTATGTATCCATATTTTGTACTCTCTTGCTCCTTGGGTTTCCCTTTTCCATGAATTCTCTAAAGGAAGTCACTAAGCAAAAGTTACTTGCAAAGAGAAGGAGTTTATGGTAAAGCCACACATTATTTATAATTATATTCTATTTGAGAGACAGATTCTTATTCTTAAGTTTTTTAACATTTATATTTATTTATGTCTGGAGGACACACGGATACTCAATGGGTCATGTTATCATGACATTACTAGCTTGTACATTTGTGTTGTGGTTAGAATTTCATCAACATAATACAAACTAGGGTTATCATGGGACAAGGAACCTCAGTTGGAAAAAAAATGCCTCCATCAGGTTTTTCTGCAAGAATGACTGTAGGGTCATTTTCTTTTTTCTTTATTTAAAATTTTATAATTTAATTTAATTTTACATATCAGCCACAGATTCACCATTTCTCACTCCTCCTGATCCCCCATTGCCCTCCCCTCAATCTACCCCCCATTCCCATCACCTCTAGGGCAAGGACTCACCAGGGGATTCAGCTCAGCCTGGTAGATTCAGTCCAGGCAGGTCCAGTCCCCCCTCCCTTCACCCAGGCTGAGCAAAGTGTCCCAGCATAGGCCCCACATTCCAAACAGCCAGCTCATGCACTAAGGACAGGTCCCGGTCCCACTGCCTGGGGGCCTCCCAAACAGTCCAAGCTAATCAACTGTCTGACTTTTCCAGAGGGCCTTCTCCAGTTGGGGGCTCCTCAGCTATTGGTTCATAGTTCATGTGTTTTCACTAGTTTGGCTATTTGTCCCTGTGCCTTTCCCAATCATGGTCTCAACAATTCGTGCTCATACAATCCCTCCTCTTTCTCGCCGATTGGACTCCTGGAGCCCCACCTGGGGCCTGACCATGGATCTCTGCATCTACTTCCATCAGTCATTGAATGAGAGTTCTACCACCCAGTTAGAGTGTTTGGCCATCCTATCACCACAGTAGGTCAGTTGTGGCTTTCTCTTGACCATTGCCAGCAGTCTATTGTGGGGGTATCTTTGTTGATTTCTGTGGACCTCTCTAGCACTTTGCTTCTTCCTATTCTCATGTGGTCTTCATTTACCATGGTCTCCTTTTCCTTGTTCTCCCTCTCTGTTCTTGATCCAGCTGGGATCTCTCGCGCCCCTAAACTCTCTTTCCCTTGATGCTTGCCCTTCATCACACCCTGTCATGTCCAGTTTGCTCATGTATATCTCATCCATTTTTCTGTTTATGGGTGATCCCTGTGTCTTTCTTAGGGTCCTCTCTACTAGGTAGCCTCCCTGGATTTGTGAGTAGCAGTCTAGTCATCTTTGTTTTACATCTAGTATCCTCCTATGAGTACTCACATACCATGTTTGTCTTTTTGAGTCTGGGTTACCTCATTTCGAATGATTTTTTTCATCCATTTGTCTGCAAACCTCATGATGTCATTGTTTTTCTCTGCTGAGTAGTATTCCATTGTGTATATGTGCCACAATTTATTTATCCATTCTTCAGTTGAAGGGCATCTAGGTTGGTTCCATGTTCTGGCTATTACAAATAATGCTGCTATGAACATAGCTGAGCATGTGTTCTTATGGTATGATTGAGCTTTCCTTGGGAATATACCCAAGAGTGGTATAGCTGTGTCTTGATGGAGATTGATTCCCAATTTTCTAAGAAAGCGCCATATTGATTTCCAAAGTGGCTGTACAAGCTTGCATTCCCACTAATAGTGGAGGAGAGTTCCCCTAGCTCCACATCCTCTCCAGGATAAGCTGTCTTCAATGTTTTTGATCTTAGCCATTCTGACAGGTGTAAGATGATATCTCAGAGTAATTTTTATTTGCATTTCCCTGATGACTAAGGATGTTGAGAAATTGTTTAAATGTCTTTCAGTCATTTGACCTTCCCTTGTTGAGAATTCTCTGTTTAACTCTACATTTTTATGTCTAATTTCTTGAGTACTTTATATATTCTGGATATTAGTCCTCTGTCAAATGTGGGGTTGGTGAACACCTTCTCCCATCCTGTAGGCAGTTGCTTTGTCGTGTTGACTATGTCCTTTGCTCTACAAAAGCTTCTCAGTTTCAAGAGGTTCCATTGATTGATTGTTTCTCTGTGCTACTGGTATTATATTTAGGAAGTGATCTCCTATGCCAATGCGTTCAAGACTACTTCCTACTTTCTCTTCTAGCAGGTTCAGAGTAGCTGGATTTATGTTGAGGTCTTTGATCCACTTGGACTTAAGTTTTGTGCACGGTGACAGATATGGATCTATTTGCAGCCTTCTACATGTTGACATCCAGTTATGCCAGCACCATTTGTTGAAGATGCTTTCTTTTTCCCATTGTACACTTTTGGCTTCTTTGTCAAAAATTGTATGTTCATAGGTGTGCCGATTAATGTCAGGGTCTTCAATTTGATTCCATTGGTCCACATGTCTTTTTTTATGCCAGTACAAAGCTGTTTTTTTTTTTTTCGAGACAGGGTTTCTCTGTGTAGCTTTGTGCCTTTCCTGGAGCTCACTTGGTAGCCCAGGCTGGCCTTAAACTCACAGAGATCCGCCTGGCTCTGCCTCCCGAGTGCTGGGATTAAAGGCATGTGCCACCATTGCCCAGCAAAGCTGTTTTTATTACTGTAGCTCTATAGTAGAGCTTGAGGTCAGGGATCATGATGCTTTTTTTATTTGTTTTATCGTACAGCATTCTTTTGGTTATCCTGGGTTTTTTGTTTTTCCAAAAGTCTGTGAAGAATTGTGTTGGTATTTTGATGGGAATTGCATTGAATCTGTAGATTGCTTTTGATAAGATTGCCATTTTTACTATGTTAATCCTGCCCCTCCATGAGCATGGGAGATCTTTCCATTTTCTGACATCTTCTTCAATTTCTTTTTTCAGGGACTTAAAGTTCTTGTCATATGGGTCCTTTACTTCCTTAGTTAGAGTTACTCCAAGATTTTATATCATTTATGGCTATTGTAAAGGGAGATGTATCTCTGATTTCCTTCTCAGCCTGCTTGTCAATTGTATATAGGAGGGCTACTGATTTTTTTGAGTTAATCTTATATATTGCTATGTTCCTGAAGGTATTTATAATCTGTATGAGTTCCTTAGTCAAAATTTTGGGGTTATTCATGTATATTATCATGTCATCTGCAAATAGCAAAAGCTTGATTTTCTGTTTCATTGCTTTTTCATGGTTTACTTTAAGGAATTTACTGTTTTCTTCTGCTTTATTTGTCTTTTCCTTTAGTTTTTTTTATAGCGTTCTTCTCATTTTTTGTTTGACTTTTCATTTTCTTTATTTATTTCCTCCACTTTTTTGTTCATCTTTTCCTCAATTTCATTTTTGATTTTTTTCTTTAAAAGCCTCTAACATCTTCATGTTGTTATTCTTAAGGTTGCTTTCTTTTGCTTCTTCCACTTTGTGATGATTAAGTCTGCTGTTAGAGGAGGGATAGGTTCTGGTAATGCTGTATTGCTCTTTATTTTTGTATGTACTTCTGCCTTGACGTTTGCCCATCTCCTTGTGGATTCATTCTTGGTCTTATCAGAGCTCTTGGTCCAGTCAGAGCTGAAAGTTTTGGTGTTTCAGGAAGCCTCTCTTGGTCCAATGAGAGTTGGTGGATTCTACTTCTCAGAAAGCCACTCTTGGTCTAATCAGGGCTGGCAGACTCCCTGTCTCCTGAGTTTACTCTTGGTCCAATGATGACTCTTTGTCCAATGAGAGCTCTCTCTTTCTCTGGGCTGGGTGGAAGCTCTCTGGGCTAGATAGGAGCTCTCTGGGCCTGATGAGAGCTCTCTGGGCCAGATGGGAGCTCTCTGGGTGAGATGGGAGCTCTGGGCCAGATGGGAGCTGGGGGCTGGTCACTTAGTCTCAGGAAGTGGTGGGGGTCTCAGGCAGATGAGTGTGGGGGTAGGGCGTGTACATTGTAGGGACTGTTGGGGGTCTCTGGTCCAGATGGGAGCTCTAGTCTGGATGGGAGCTCTGAGCCAGATGGGAGCTGGGGGCTGGTTTCTAAGTCTCAGGAAGTTGGGAGGTCTTGGGTGGATGGGTGTGGGGCAGGGCGAGTAGATTGCAGGGTCTGCTGGGGTTCTCTGTTCCAGATGGGAGCTCTGGTCTGGATGGGAGCTCTGGGCAAGATGGACCTGGGGGCTGGTCTCTAAGTCTCAGGAAGTGGGGAGGTCTTGGGTGGATGGGTGTGGGGCAGGGCGAGTAGATTGCAGGGTGTGCTGGGGAGGAATCTTGGAGAAGGGGAACCTTCCCATGGGGGCCCCGCCCAATGGCCAACAACTGGGGCCAAGTTGGGCCAGTCTCCCCCGGGAACTGCTGGTGTCAAGGGATGGGACCTAGGGGCAGGCCTCCCTGGGTATGACCCCAGGCACTCACCTCTGGTTTGGATGTGTGCTCTAGGCTGGATGGGAGCTGGGGGCTGGTCTCAGGGCCATTTTCTTGAGCAATGATTGGTGTGAGAGGGTTCAGGAAGATGGGTGTGGTGATATCCATGGGAAGATGTTCCTGGGTTGTATAAGAAAGCATGCTGAAAAACAATGGAGTGCAAGCCAGTAAGCAGAGTTCCTTCATGGTTCCTGATTCAGTTCCCACCTTCAGTTTCCTGCTTTGATTTCATGTCCTGATTTTTGTACATGATGATTGTAAGATTTAAGATGACATAACCCGTTTCCTTCCCTTGGTGCTTTTGATTATGATGTTGGTCACATCTATAGATTAAAAAAAAACTAGGATAATTTCAAAGTCTTCTCATGAGAGGATGGATATAGGGTCTGTAAAACTGCAACCACAGCCACATATACAATTACACATCCAAACACACACACACACACACACACACACACACACACACACACACACTCACAGAGCATCCTATCCACATGAAGAAACATATTCACAGGTAGATGGGCTGACTTATTTTTCTTCTCTACTTTTTACAGGACCATTCTGGTTGACTTGCAATTACTATATAATGAGGCTGATATTGAATGGTGAGAGATTCTCCCTAGTGACTGGATTAAAGGTGTGCAGCAACATTCCCGACCATCACATTCAAATTTTTAAAAAAATAATTTATTAATTATTGTTTTGGAAAATATATTATTTCATGCATTATATTCTGATAATTTTTCCTCTTACTTCATCTTTTCCTAGGTCCTTAATCTCTCAATTAGAGTTCCATAACTGTCAGAGTTTTAAGGACCTTTAAGAGATTGGCTTTGTGATGTTACTTTTTATGTAGACAATGATTGGTTTAAAAACCCACAATTTTCAATATATTTTCTTTTTTTTTTTTGGATTTCATACATGAAGATTTAATTAAGTGAAAATTTATTTAGATCCAAGTTTTTTTAAACCCACAAATGTTTGTCAAGATTAGAAAGTTGAGATATTATGGGTCACACACCATGATTGACAATATAGCTTTATGAAATCATTAGGTTCTGTATATTCAAGTATATATAGTTCATACTTGGCTAAAAAATGATGCAATTCTAACAAAACCATCAAAATTTAAATAAACTTTCTTGAGTTTTACACCATGGCTCCCAAATCTGAAAGCTTAGATTTGATTTATGACCATGGCAAAAATCATCTTTATTTCCTGCAAATGTAATCAGCTTTCTAAATAAGGCAAATATCAGTTTATACAGATCTTATGAAAGGCAGGAGGAAATTGCAATCATCTAACTGTAGAGTTTGAACCATAGACCCAAATTGTTCCATTATCTCCATTGTCAGATCAAGTCAAGAAAGCCTGTTACAGACTGAGTGAATGTGATTTTGTATGCGCCACAAAGGTGCTTTTTGAAAACTGATCATTCTCAATTAGTACTGTATAGCTACTCAGAAATTATTTTCAACTGTGCTCCAAGGGATATCTCTTAGTGAATGAACTTTCAGGAAACCAAGGGACAATACCATTACCTACGTTTCACAGGCAATTACGACAAAAGAGGATTTAGGATTGAGTAATCCACTCCAGATTACAAATTAGAAACACTATCTTGGAGTTAGTTTTGCCCCAAAGCCTTTTCCACTGGATAACCATTACTTTATATTTTTTCTTCATCTTTTTTTCTTTTGATTTTCTTTTCTTTCTTTTTGTTGAGACAGGCTCTTGTTATGTAGCCTTGGCCTGGAATTCAGAGATCCACCTGCCTCTGCTTCCCAAGTGCTGGGACTAAAGGTGTGCACCATCACACTTGGATAAATAGGCTATTTTAAATATTGTTTTATCTTCAGGACTGTCTTAAAATTAAGTCTATAGTCTGTGAAATTTGTCAAATAAATATGCCAAAATAAAAATATGCTTGTCTACTGGATTCTGGTTATAGTTAAAAGTGACAAACACTTTAAAGAGAAGAAGATAAGAGATCTCAAAGCACCTGTTTCACAGGAAAGAAGTGCTCTATTACATGGATTTATAAAAACAACCCAAACTTCAGAGACAGGAAGTTGATAATCTGATTCATCTTAATGGCTTTAGCTCATGAATAAATGATAAAGGCTTATGTTTTTTTTTCTTATAAAAAGATGATGAGTCTTAAGTGAGAACAGGAGAGAGCCTGATTTACGCTGAAATGTCCTGTATCTTTCCTTTGGTACTTACTACAATGAAAAGAATTTGGAAAGTAGAGATTTGTAAAGACTTGAGAAGAGAACTAGTTATTGTGAAGAGAAAAGAGTGACAAAAATATTAGGGAATTTGAATTTAGAGAAATTACCCACTTTCCCTGTGTCTTTGTGAAGAACATCTATATTCAAAAACTAACTCATAAAAAATTAAATGTATTTACTGAGTTAAATAGCTAAAATGAATAAATTTTATGAAGTACACAGGTCTAAATTAAACGGTAATGTTGTAACTCTTGAGTTGAATTTTGAACCATTTGAATAGTGTCAATTCCAGATGAAAAGGTGTCCAGTGCAGGGCCGGGTGCATACATCTTTGATCCCAGCACTTGGGAGACAGAGGCAGGTCTCTGAGAGTTGAATGCCAACCTGGTCTACAGAGTGAGTTCCAGGCCTGCCAGGCTACATAGTGAGACCCTGTCTCAAAACAAACACAAAAAAAGAAAGAAATGCAGTCGGTTTGGCAGAAATGTGTAGAGTTTGTTTGTGAGAGAGGATGGAGCTAAAAGAAACAGGGTAAGATATTAAAATTTAAAAATTTAGGCATTACCTCAGGGAAAAGCCTTGACAGGGAAAGGGAACTACTTTACCGCTAATAGCTCGTCTGGACCAGACACTAAATGCCTTGGGAATCATCTGCACAATCCGGAAATGAACTTGACTTTTCCATTTCTCTTGAGGCTTTTCAGGACAGGCCCTTCTGCTCTTCACTAAACCTACATCTTGAGTAATTCCTGAAATATGCTGAATGGGTTCTTTTTCGTTTTCCTTGGGTGTTTTTCTGTGAAGAGTTACGTGATCTTTCTGATACATAACCATGTCATTGGCCTGAATAATTCTATGGAGGGAGTCTGTTAATTTAAAAGGAACCTGATAGGAATATTAAAGGAAGCTTTTAGACGGCCTGTGGCTAGATTTATTGATTTGGTGAACAAACCTGTGTTCTTTGCTGACTTTCAGCTAATGGCTAACCGTGGTCAAAGAATGGCTTTCACTTAATGTTTTGACTTACTACAAATAAGATAAACAGTGTTTTAGTAATTATAAATCTTTTAAAATATATTTTCTTTTTTAAAAATCATTTCCATTTATCCCTACCCAGTACATGACCCGAGTTTATGGTTTGGCTGTTTGTTTGACATGTCAGGAGCCTCTCTTTTACACATCTGTCTCCAGTGACTCCAAAGTCAACCCTAATTCTGCAGTCATGCCAAACCAAAGTAATTGAGCTTAGGTTTCCCTGATGTTAATTGATATGCCACAGGGTGAAATACTGACTTAGAGCACAATCAGGACTCACAGTCATCTTTGGAAACCAGAGCTACAATCACATTTGCATGGAGTAATATGTAGGTGTTGTAAGAGTCCATTTATCTAAGAAAATTGCCATCAAGATGAAATATCTCTGTCCAGGTCAATTATCTCTATCTAGCATTCTGAATATATGTTTTAAAAAACTAGTTGATCAAATACTCCAGGAAGACCTGCCCAACTTGGCCCCAGGTTCTGGCCACCGGGCAGGTCCCCTTCTAGCCCCACC